ATTTTTAGGTTGAATTTAATTTGAGCTTATTTACTCACCTGAAGGAAATTACACAACCGAACACTGCAAAATCAATGAACTAACAAATGGGCCTGTAAGAGAAATATTTGTCTCGGAACGTGGTAAATTCGCTGTTTCTTTGGAGTAGATACTGTAATAGTGAAGAAGCTTCCGCATCGAGATTACATTTTTGTGGTCTTTTGAGAGGAGAGAAGGGGTGCAACGTGATAGCCTGCTGCGCGCAGTCGTCCGCCTCCTTAAATAGTGTGTCTGCATGCGGCACTTTTCTCCAAAATTAGTGTAAAAATGGTGGAAGGCATTTTGTGTTAATAATATATTGAATGTGCATAGACAATAGTTTCCTGTTTGTTTGTCAGGGTGTTCAATATTCAAAATTGAATACAGAAGTTTTGATTACAGTGGTGGTCGTGATGTTGGGCACTGAAAGGGTCAAGGTCATGGCACTTTCATTGACTTCGCTAATATTGTATGCGTTAGCCTGACTGAAGAAATCTTTGCTGCATATATGAAATTAATCTAACGAGAGAAACGAGCGAACACTGTTTTTTTCAAGTTAACTAAGCAAATAAATCTTTTTCATCAGCTGCTTTTATTTTTTCAGGTTTTTTGGCTTTTCAGCACTTATCTGGTGTTTTTCCCGCACAGTCTGTTATCACTTGATAAGTGCGGGTAAAACTGCCTAACCAGATGCCTCCTAATTGGTTGGCAGTTATCCAGGTCTGTAACACCAAGATTTACGCCACGTTAATTAAGGAATAAATGTTTAAATGAATGAACGACCTAACGAAAGAACGTTTGAGGCCCTGTTCACACGTGTCCGATTATTTTTGAAAACGGAGATACGCGTCCACACGTAGCGTATTTGAATCGTTTTCGCCAGTTCACATGAAAACGATAATATATAGATATAGCCAGGGCTAAAAGCGAAGCTCTAGTTAATAATACGTGTAAACAAAAAAAAATTAAATCGTGTAATGCTAAACGGGGACGACAGTGAGTGGCTTCAAGACTAATAGATCTGATCAGCAAAAAACAAATTGCGCGTGCAGCACACTTTTTCTTCTAATTAGCAAAACAAATTTGCACTTGCAGGACGCTTTTTTGTCTTTTCCTTGTCGTTGTTTTGCACGACTCCAACCCTTACACTGTTTTGTACGACTAAAAGGTCAAACGTCCTAGTTACACATTACTTTTATGGAGGAATTGTCGTATGTGCTTACCCAATATTTTGTTTCCTGTGTTCATGTTCGCTTTTATTTTTCACTGCAGCTCATTTTCACCTTGCTGGCCGCTAGCATTTCTCATTTTCTGACCGCCGCTTTGAATTTCCATGTTCTTCTACCTACGAAATTCGTCTCCTTTATTTCAATAACTTGCTCTAGCTCTTTCTTTGTTATCCACGTTAGTGTAGACAAAAAAAATAACACCGAAAAAGATACGACTTTGTTGTTGTTTTTTCTTTCTAAAAGTCCGGGCGGCCATGTGATTTCCTTCCAAATAAAACCTTGAGTTGCATTTGGGTTGCCATACCTGTTGATTGAGTTATTTTACATTGGTATGCCTGTGGTGCGGACGGACGGTCGCTCGCTCGCTCGCTCGATGTACGGTCACATGATTGCCAAATTTTCTCAGAGGGGTAGATTACTACATTTCCTTAGCTATGGGTCTCCGCGCGAGGAGCTCCGCTGGAAATACGTTCGATGGAAATACGATAGCATCCATTACAGAGTATGCATTATTGCAGGCGACAAAAGGAGCCCGCAATCCTAATCTCCAGGTTTTTATTACGCATATGTCGCACGTATGTAACCAGCATTCGTTTGGACTTCCCCTAACAATGTATGGGATGCACAGAACGCACTTTGATCAAGCACGTTTGCACCTTCTATCACTCGTTATCTGATCAGGCGTGTTTTGACGATCTGTCACGTGAAGCTTACGCAAAGCACAGCTTTGGAGCAAAAGCATTTTGACCTTCGATCGTTGTCGCCTGCACTCCGTAACCTTTGGTTATTACTAGTTCTTGTAGTGTATGATGTATGACATCATCGTAATCGATAACCTGATCCATTTTCGTCCCTCCATACGTAAACGAGAAGCGCGCGTTTGCAAAAATCTGTTTGAAGAATGGTGACAGTACTCCTTAGAGCTTCTCAACAATGAAGAAACCAAAAAAGCTATTCGAGGAATTCAAAAAGGCAGCAGGACTTGAATGCGCTGAGTCAGTAAAAGCGCTCTAGGGGGCGGGAAGTTATGGCCCGGCTCATTCAAAAACTTTCCGTGTAGGATCTTGTTGCACCCCCACAGTGGATCGTACTACTAATCCGAATGTAATTGTGGCGAGGTAGCAAGACTGGATTGCACTGTTACCATCAGAAGCACTCCGGGGAGGTTGAGACGTCATGGCCAGGGTCATTCAAAAGGCATCGGCAGAGACCCAGACGGAAGTCGAACGCTAGTCGGAACGATGGGATTTTCATGGGTGAAAGTTTTACCTTGCTGCCTCCTGAGTTTTCAAGAATGCCACACCAATAGGCCACTTGCACTAAGAGGTCACGTGACCAATGCTTCCCTTAAACAATGAGTTGGGATCTTGCTGATGCCAAGAATTGTTAGAGCACACAATAATTATCTCACACCCGAAATTTGAGAGGAAACGCATTTAAGGGAGATATTTTATGGCACTTTGATTTTTCAGCAAAGTAGTATGATTTATATTGGCCGCCATGTTGGAGGGCATGCTCTTGCCCTCCAACATGGCGCCCAAAACTACTTCTTGCTTATATCTCGTTCAACGCTTCATAGTCACGCTCAGATGTGCTGTAAACGTTATCAAATCATCTTTTCAACATTTCCATTGAGGTTTAAGTGCAAAATTTGTGTTCAGAGAGAGGTAATTCATAATTTTAAAAATCACATTTTGGTCACGTGACCATTTACGAACTTATTTATTTTAAGAAAATGGTGCGGGTTTGAAAAACCAAATCACTATTATTTTGTTTAAGATATGACCCCCTAATCGTTTTTCGAAGGCAAAATCATATAACTTTCAATTTCACAAAAACGATGTCACATGCCTCTTATAGGTGCAAATGGCCTATTGCGAATACGCATTTCTAACCGCCGCCCCGTTAACCCAGAAGGATGAGCGCCGGTCTGCTGTGCGAGAGGTCGTCACAGGTTCAAATCCCGGTCTAGCCAACAACCAGGGTCCTTTAAAATAAAAACTTGTAAGATCATGCTGTGATTTAAGATCAAGTTTCACTTTAGATAAATGAGTTATTTAAGCAGTGACGTTAGGCCGTTAGCCTTGTCCCTTTTCAGCTTCCTGCGAATTGGAAGGGGACTTAAAAGAACCCACACTGCTGTTAGAAAAAAAGTAGGGGACGTACGTAGACCCCGTTGGTCTGCCTGTCACGATATTTGGGTATAGATCTCTTTACCTTAGTCATGCCCAACTCTTCTGAAAGGAATGATATCACGTGAAAAAAAAAAACTTATTAAAACGTATTTTGATAGAATAAGCACATCCAATAACCTAGCGTAATGAAGAATTGTTTATTTTTTGTTCATTTTTTTGTCACTCATGGCGTTTATGAAGCGGAAATTGTTTTCCATGACCAAACGTGCTTGAGCTGATAAGGTTTTCAACACGTTTGCGTTCGAACAAAAAACTATGACCTCACAATTACTATACGCTCCTGGCATAAGTTGGTCCTATTATCTTACAAGGAAAATAAAGAGGAGAGCTTCAACTTCCGTAATTCTGTTTCCCGTAAAACCAAGAGATTCTAAATATACCACGAGGAGAAAAATTAGTTACACCTTTAACTTAATAATTTATGATAATGAATAATTAATGAAATTGTTTTCAAATTTACTTAACAATATTTTTAACAATCTTAAGTTTGTCAATATCGGTTATCGGTAAAGCAAAAGAGGACGTATAGGTGCCGATGGCTTTCCTCACTTGCATGCAAAAGCCAGTTACGTCTACTTGGAGTTTAATCAAACTACAATCCTGGACGAAAGTCCTTGGGACAGTACTACAAATATTCATATTTTTCTGTCATTTCTCGGTTCCCTCTTAAAAAGGTGCGTCCTTTTCGAAAGTTTCTGCAGTTCTCCCTCCCCCCACCCTATACAAAGTGAAAACTCGAAAAAAATTCTGGATACACGCGTCCAACATTTTTTGTGGGATGAGGGGAGGGGTTCGACCTGTGTGAATTGAAAAACGCCCCAGAAACGCAAAAGTGTCCCAAGACTTTTGTCCATGATTGTAGGTTTACTAAGAAAATTTCTTGAATTCAGTGATACTAGGTAGAATGACGTGGTTGATACTCTGCTGTCTACAGCCCTTTTAAGTCATCCATGCAGCAATGTGCCTGTCTCTAATGCCAAATCCTCCACATTCTCGTAGAGCTGCTTGTCGTAGAAGAACATTTTGATGTGTGTCTGCCAGAAGAAAATCTAAGTGTTACATATAATCGGTGAGACAGGCATTAAAGGTAGAAAGGCTGCTGCTTTCAACCACAACACAGGGGAAAACATAACGTTGATTTACGCGACTTTTTTTGTATTCGTCTCTCAACCATTTCACTCTCGGGGTTAAAGATAGACTGTTACGTTTGGTTCTGACTTCTGAGTCTGTGGACGAAACCCTGTGGTGTTTCCATTCAAAATGAAATATGGGAATTTTGTTGAACTTTGACTTTGGTCACTTTTGTGAGTGAAAGTGATAAAACATCTATTCAAGATTTGTCTTTAAAGTGTTTTAAAAGTTCATCCCCTCATCTAACTTTCCCCTGTTTTGATAACAACTAAGATGGCCCTTATAAGAATCTTCGTCAACTCTAAGCAACACTGGATTTATAAGGTAACTTTATTTCTTGAAGTATTGCTTATCGTTTGTTGTTCCGTTTTTTGTTGTTGTTGTTGTTGCCTCTTTGTTTGTTTGTTTTTGTTCTTGTTTTGTGTTTCACCTTGGGTTGGTTTTCCATCTCCTTTAGTTCATGACTTAGAGCTTCAAAGGTTGGCCGTTTATCAGGATCCTCTTGCCAACAGCTTAGCATCGTCTGGTACCTATAAATATACATTGAAACTCCATTTAAATGCTTACGATTACAGGCGGTAGTAAAAGGATTAGAAAAGTACCTTTTGGGCAGTGTTGATCAATTTTTTTTCGAAGAATATTGTTACTGTATACGGGCGATTGGATTTCTTATAACAGATTTCAAATTACTCAGTGTTAGATTAACAGGCGCATCTTCGCGATCTAAGTTTGCTCGGCGAGATTTCAAGCCAACTCTACTAAGACAGGAAGTGGTCTCGTTTTAACAGTAACCAGAATTTTCTGAGTAATACCTGGAAATCAGAAAATATCAGAAACGGAAATTGTTTGTGGCCATTAACAGAGTTTTACTTTAAAACGAAAGCAGCTGTTGCTGCTCAGATGAACCAAAGGCGTGGGGAAATCGAAGGGTAAATTATGCTATCGAAGACGACGTTGGAAGAACTTTATTCGGGCAGCAAAGTTTTCTTTCTGGAAAAGGAATAACAACAACAGCAACACAGCTTTCTCTAAAAGAAAAATTTAAGATACCTTTTTAAGCATCATAAAGAGGAAAGAAAGCATTGTAGTTAAAATGGAATTACCAAACGATCGAAGACGCTTGTTTGCACACGTCGTCTGTTGTTGAGATGCAGCCATGAAACGTAAGTCCGGAGAAGCTGATTAAAATTTACTTCCACTTTACCATAGTCTTATCGATAACTAAGGCTTTTCAGTCCCGGATCCAGACCATATGATAGGGGGGCCGGTCATCCAAACCCTGAGATATGGGGGGCGCTCGGGCTCCAAATAATTTTTTTGGCCCCTCGGGCCTCAATTTGGTCTACAAATAAGGTGGGCCCGGCCCCTCCCCTAGATCCGCCACTACTTTCATACTATTTTTCAGAATAACCTACTATTCCTTCGACGTTAACAACTCAAAATTGACTGTGCAGTGAACACGAGAAACCAGCAGGCGAATGAACTTACAGAGTATCATCCACGTGAGTTGGCTTCGGCATTCTGTAACCTTCAAGAAGTAACTCGGCCATTTTTCGTCCTGCAGTTCGCGGATAAGGTGAACCACCTAAAATACATACATGTATAAAAAGAAAACGATCAGGAAATTAAAGGTAAAACATTTTACCTGTTATTACTGTACACTGTACCCCTCCTGGAACTGCAAGAGGAGCTTTCCAGCCCTCTTATTGTTGAGTCCGTTTCAAAAGCTAATAAGTTTTAAGATAACGTAAATCCTCTTTTTAGGCATTTAAACGAAGGAGGGAAAAGTGAATAATGGATTTAAACCACCCAATAACACGTTGTTGCGCTACAGCTCGATTGTTGATATTTTTAGAAGGCCACATAATATTAAAAAGTATTTAAAGACCTTATCCGTCTTGCCGGGTCAGCAAACGCGTCAGAATTTAAGGACTTAGTATTTTTAAACAAATCCGATGTAGAACTACTAAGTGGGCAAAAGATTCACTCAAAACATTCAAAGCACGTGCTTCTACAGTCTATATACCCGGCCTAAGAAGTTCGTTCCTCATTTGTCGTCACCTTAATCTGACATCACTTTAAAAACGTCTTAATCTATAGAGTGTAATAGAAAACGTTTGCAAACTTACCTAAGGTAATTATCTCATACAGCACTACTCCAAAACTCCAACTGCGTTCAAGAAAAGTGAGAAATATAAAAATTTGTAATTCATTCATATGATAAAAATTTTCCTGCTCTTCTGATTGGCTTAAAACCTCAGGCTAGCTTATCCTTTATATTCAGCCACTAGTGACCAAATTTAGAATATCTGGAGATAGGTTTTTCATTACTTTAATGAGTAACGTCAATTGTAATAAAGCAGAAAACTTATTGGACGAATTACGTCACGGAGACACAGCGGCTGGACGGCTCAGCTGTTTTGGCAGTGCAGAGCTAGCAAATCAACAGAAAATTTCACATGCGGTGCGAAGACAATTTAGCTGAATTACTGACTCAATAAGACAGCAAGTTCATTTTAATACCAAGATCGGTATTTAAGGAAACCAAAGGTTCTCTCATTAGCAAATTCGTTGCAGAACAAATACTAGTAAGAAACTAAAGAGCGTAGTATGCAGGGATCCGAGCTACTACTTACACGTCACTTTTTTCAGTGTACTGCCCATACATCAGTGCTTCATAAGCGGTCCATTTTACGGGAAGTCGACCCTATATCAACAAAACAAGCAAAGAAAATTTAATAGTAACTTATGTTCTTGACTGTATTTATTTTGAATTACGCCATTTTATCGCATAAAGAAGAGGAAACGCGCAAAATATGCCACTGTATTATACAATAAAGTCCTATATAAAGAACTGGCATTTTACTCATTGCAATTGCTCGAAACTAGTAAGGGTCTGCTCGTGTCATCTACCAAAACAGATCAAAAGAAGCTGTGTGCGAACTATCTTGATGACGTTTTTTAACTTTTTCAACCGCTTTCAGCATCCAAGCCCTATCACATGCTGATTATATTTATTAGAAATATCACCCCTATCTTCCTTTCACAAATGTTTTCCTGGTGTACATCTCTGGCCATTCCAAAGTCTGTCACTCTGCAAATTTCTTGATCTCCAACCAATACATTACGGGCTGCAAGATCACGATGAACAATCTAAGGGAGATCAAATTGTAGTGACGTTAGTCTACACAATGAAAACGGTAGTTCCTTGATCGTAATTCAAGAATTCCTTGGCACTACTGAAGCTATACTTCTTCAACGTGAGTATTCTGTCCTAGTTATTCTGCGATAAGTGATCAAAACCAGAAAAAATATTCCAATAAAATAGCTTACGTTTTTCGAAGACAAATAACTCATTCCATCAGCAATTTGCCACGCAAATTTCATCAGTTGCTGTGACGTCAAAGTTGTTTGAGGCTTGATATCTGGGTAATAGGTGTCGTTAAGCCCGCGGCTTTTTCTCAGGTAACCCAGGAGATCCCCATATGGAACGTACTCAGTGATTACAAGAACAGGGTCTGCGGTGCCAGCATAAAATTAAAAATTTTTAGTGAGAGTCATTGACAAATTACAAAATCAAGCACGATCATCACGGTCACCATCACGTACGGTGTAATGGACTTTGCAGAACAGTAGTGTTATTACAGCAGTGCCGAAGTAAGTGGTTATCAATATTTATGGTCAGCGGATGTTACCAATAATTTGCTTACCTTCCGACCATGATCACGGTGGGGCCAAACCACCCCTCAAATGTTGCATGAGTGCTAAATTTACGTATTTGTTACGATTTTTGTTATTTTAACCAAACTTGCTCGATGGACTACGATTAATTACCGAAAAATTGTTTTTGATATTTTTAGTTGAAAGTACAAATTGTGACGTCACCAAAATGGGGGAAATTGTCCTTTTACTATTTGAGCCAAACTTATATAATCTGAAAGAACATCAGAAGAGAAGCAAAACACCGAAAACCGCTTTTCGATACGACACGTAGGAGCCAAGTTATGGGACTTCAAAGATATTTTAGTGCGCTTCCCAGATCCATAGTTTTTCTTAAAAAACTATTGCTCTGGTACTTTTTAACAGTTTTATACAAAATAAGCTGATTTTTTGGTACCACAAACCTTTCGTTGTGGAATAAAATTGTATGATTTTAGATTTTCATTTTTTGACATAATAACGCTAATTTAAGCAGTTCAAAAAATGATAACGTCACATTTTCTGATGTAACAAATTTGTTTTCCAGGATTCTGTGCAGTTGGAAATTTTTTGGGGAATTTTTTTTTCTTTTAGCTTTCGACAGGCAAGATTTCTTGTATGAAACTTGAATAGCAAGGACAACTTAAATTTAGAGTTATTTCCCGAAGGAGGGGTTCCAGTTTTTGTTCTATATTTTATCCAAATTCAAACTGCTATTTCTCAGCTCATATATAAGATATTGCAAAAATATTTTCAGCTTTCAACTCCCTTTTATCAGATTTTTCAGAAAAAACTTGGAAGATTAAATAATTTGCGCAACAATGCCGTCGGCAAACATGACGTCATAACTGAGTATTTTAAGACAAGCTTGTCTAACATTTTGCCTAACATTTTGCACCCGTAACGCTTAGGGCAGACTAAGTTGTTATCCGAAGATTAAAGAGTTTCTTCTTTTCTTGTGAATAACAATGAAACTCCTTCGGATACCACAAAGGACTTTCCGGGGCAGCCACAACTACAATTTTGCTTCTTGGGTTATGCTAATATCCAAGGACTAAAACTAACAGACGATACACTTTTCTGCCACTTGTTCCTCTTACTAAGTCTAAAATTACCTGTTATAAAACCTAAGCGATATTTTGCAAATTAGCTTGTAAATGTGACAGTAAGGAGAGACAAACAATGTCCATAACTTCACGCAACTGCATACAAAACCAGTTATAATATATGGTATTGAGGGATAGGTGACTTCAAGACGAGTAACATTTATTCTAAACAACAGCATTAGACGCCATATCGTTTCTAAAGCAACAGCTCGGAGGAGAAGTCAACTAAAAAAATTTTAGTACAAAGGTAAGAGCGGGATAGCTGACCGTGCCTTGAATGTAAATATGTGAGTTTTTGTTACCAGATTCAGTGACGCATCCCAGTAGTTTGATGACATGTGGATGAGGCTGTAAGGTCTTCATCACTTCAAGCTCTGATAACAAGTCCTTCCTGTCAGAATTGCTGGCACCAACTGTAAAATGAGGAGAAATATTTGGTCAACGTATATGTTTTATAGGTAAAATTATCAAGCAGCCTTAAACAGAACATCGTATGATTCCCCGGGGGGGGGGGACTCCGCATATGAAAGTGGGGGGGGGATGCTCGTCGTCTCGCTTAGGGGTGTAAATTTCGGATTTTGGTCTCATTCATGGTGTTCTGGGCAAAACGCCATCATCTTTAGCCGTGAAGGTTTCGTTTAGGGATGCACGCGAAAAAATATAAAAATATATATTTGATATGTGTATTTTTAATTCGTTTTATTTATTCCATTCATATAATCCAAGTTTTCTCATTTGTCTGTGTTTTAACATGGTCTCCGTTTTAGGGATCAAAAAAAGCTTGGTCCACGACCAGATCGGTCTCCTTTAGGGGTTTAATTCAAAGTTTCGGACGAGTATCCCCACCCCTTTCATATGTGGAGTCCCCCCCGGATGTGATTCATAGGTGACAGTAAACACTGGCTTATTATAGCAAAATACGTATACTTGTGAGCTGTTGGATTATGTTTAAATTGATAAAAAATGTCTAAAACACATTCAACCAGCATAACAAACAGTACCTTTTAACATTTTTATGGCCACGGTTGATGTTCCCCTTCTTCCTTGCAGTTGTGATGCTGTTCCTCGGGCAACTTGTCCAAACGCTCCTTGACCTATAACCGTTTCAATAATGACGTTTTCTCTTGGGACCTCCCAGCACCATGTTGCTGGATGCATCGAAGCATATTCTAGGTAAGGAGGTACTTGTGCTTCTTGGTGGGGGGGCTGTTGGGTTTTTCTCAATTCTATTTTATTACTAAGACCAGAGGCGGTTGAAAAAGTTGTCATTGTCCAGCTCATCTTCAATTTCTACAGGGTTATTCTAGGAGAGAAATTGGTTGGTAGAGTGGATTTTGTTTCACGTAGGTGTCACAAAAACACAACAGGTCAGAGTCAGATTCTAGCTTGGCTATGTATGTTGCCATTTAATTCACAGATGATGTTATATATCAGATTCGTAAGATACTCAGAATACTCGCACTACAAACAATAGTTACCCCAACACAAGGAAACATTAAAAATAAATTAAGCCAAAACAAAGGTACAGTTCGTTGAAAGAAATGATTAACTAGGCGCCTACAGTAAAGGGTAAATCGGGCTGCGCAATGCAGTGTTCAAATATTCTGGAAAGTGTGATTATAATCACTCTTTTTCCATGCTGAGTGTACAACAGCTACTTCTATCCCGAGAGATAGATATATTGCCGTTTAAAGTTTTGATTCCCTCGGTAAGTGTAGTCCTGACTAGTCTATTGGTAACAGTTACCAATAAGCCATGCAAAACAATTTTTCGTTTTAAGTCTACTTGCAAGGGTATTTCTAATAGCCCCCCTCCCTAAAAAAAAAAAGTCAATAGACATTTTTTCAGGCTTACCAAAGATGGCTAGCGCTTATTAAGAAAGCCCCAGCTTTAAAAAAATGTTATTGACAAGAGGTCTGGTGGAGGGGTGGGGCCTGGTTACGTCTTCTTCTTAACAGGAAGCCCAAACAAAAATTTTCTCTCTTGCATGTCACAAGAGCAAAATTGCTATAGCGATAGCTTTAGGACAGAAATCGTTTCTTTTTTTACTTTACGAGTTACGCCAAATGTTGTAATGTTAACTTCACATGCAAAATTCCTGGCAATAACCAGTTGTGAAACTATTTGACACTTACTCTTGACTCAACCGGATTCTCACTTTTCCTGAGAAGAAACAAATCATATTTAAAGCATTATAACGTGTCCACGTGTGTCTATCTTTGGAGGGACAATAGTCCATTACCCTTGAGGAAATAGAAGTAAATCTAAGTGGCTAAGGACATGGCGTTTTCACATACAAATTTATCCTTAGATACTCTCAAAAACTTCTCGGTTCCGTTCCCCAAAACTGGGTACGTGTTCGCAAACAACAATAAACTTAATAGCATCAAACGCGAAAAAAGGAAAATTTTCCAGTCTCTTGTTTCTGTTAACTGGTTTGTGGAATTTTCATGATAATCCAAATTTAAGTAAACGTCGATCTAACAGTTGACTGGTCCGTTAAAACTCCGCCATACATTGGAGACATTCGCTCTGCATTATGGGCTCCTGAGCATGGCATGAAGAAGTTATGTATTACTGGTTCTGTGACATTTACAGTACATATACATCAACATACCCATCATTTTTTTTACCTGAAAAAAAGAAGAGGGAAAAAGTTAAAACAAAAAACACACTTCATTCTTCTAAAAGAAACTCTTACGTAACGACCCTGAATTAAGCTACCAAAAAAGTCTCTTTCAGGATTCTTCATTAACCGTTCTACACCCGTTTGTTTGATATGAGATTACCAACTGATATCCAACGCGCACTCGTTTTGGTTACTACAGCATGAAAATACATAACGCGTGTTACCTAAAGAAAACTAAGTTAGTGAACATCATGAGAGTACAGGTGAAAAAATAAAAGGACTAAATTAACCTTCAGAGACAATCTGTCGGCCTTTATCCTGCGAGGTTTGAAAGCGAAGCGATGTGAACTTCTGGGGGGAAAATCGTCCCAGCGCTTGAGCCGTTTAAAAATGTAATGCCACCGTCGTCCTACTATTAATAGGCCCAGTAGAAGGCGCACTCACAATCCTTTCAAATCGCTTAAAAAAATCACTTCGGAAGCTAAAGACGACAGTTTACTGTCAGTAAGGTAAAGCAACCTATATTCAGCATTGATCCATGTAATACTATGCAAATATTAATCAATACAGCGCCACAGATGAGGAAAACGGTAAAGAAAGTACATTCACTATAAATCAGAAACGGTTACACAGACAGATTGTGTGGGCCCCCCGTAACTCTCATTGTCATCATCAGACATCATTACCAGGCCAAACCATAAGCAGTGACCAAGGGGTATATTTGCTCGCCTACGTATGTGCAATCGAACGTCGAAGGAAAACGATTAAAACTTTAAATTCCTCTGTAGTAACAAAGCAGGAAATAAGCACAGCTCTTACCTCGTTTTTTGCGCCAAAATCTGTGAACAGTTAAGGCCAAAATGACAACTAAAAGAATGCCTATAATAATTCCAGACACTTCTGAAGCAGATAGTCCTGTTGAGATATTTTTGAAATTAATGTAAGTGCTTCATGAAGATAATGAATGAAAAAAGCCTAACCTCCTTCATCTTGTGCCCTTAGAAAATGACAAACTTCTGGTTCTATTTTCAATTACCTCGAATGAAAAAAAGGTAGAGTAAATTTCTGCACTACTTTAAGTTAACATAATATGCATCAAAGTGAAGTCACAAGACAAGGAAATGGGCTTGAAACAATAAAACTAGGAAATAGGGGAATGAAACAAAACAACAGGATGGAAGAAAAAAATGGTAAAAAAAAATACAAGGAGGAAGGAGGAAACGAAGAAGAAAAATAAAGCGATTTCTTGCAGGCTTAAACTCATTCTGAAACAACCTATTCAATAGCCTTTTCGTTTATACTTGTAAACGTTATCCAAAACCGTTAGCCAGGTAAATAGCAGGGCCAGATCTAGAATTTTCGGAACATTTGTTGTAAAATTTCTTGCTTGCCCGCCTCTCTCAAGGGTTTCGAACATCTAGGAACTGTATAATTGCCCATTTTTAACGGATTTTTGCCCTAAAAAGGTCACCTAGAATTTTCGGGAGCCTTTTTTCTGGCTGAAATTTTTGAAAAGGTAAGTTTTGACCCCTATATTTTTCGGATCACTAGACTTTCGGCTAGGAAATCCGAACAGATAAAAAATGTTGAGGGGATAAAAATATGCTTATATCTACCGTTTAAATACTAAAATACGTTCAACAATGCTATGTTTAAGTGGTTTTGAACTATATTCTCGTTGGGTGCCCCTGAAATAGCAGCTGTATTCCAGTTAATTAGGACTTACGTACCTTCCTGATTTCCATCCCTGACCATTTCCTTAACTGGCATCACTGGTCAATGGAAATAAAAGAGAAAAATGGAATCTATAATCCTCCAAGTTGCCCCATGGTGGCAATTAAATGAAGAATTGTTAGTTAAACATCGTCGTTATGAAAATGTTTCCTAGACAACTGGAACTGAACGTTTTATTTAGGGAATGAACTATTTATATGTTTGGGCGAAAACTCTAGTGAAGCGCCTCTTTACACGAATGTTAAAATTACTAACAATAGAGAAATTCATGGCATTTGTAGGCTGGTAACATAGTGTCATCAACATCAACATCATCATCAGCCGTCGGCTGCAGAGAAGTCGACCACAAGTTTCCTCCATCGATGGCGGTCTTGAGCCATTTCTAACAGCTGATTGTCATTTAACAAGCTATCAGGATCCCCCAGAAGACAATGAATATAATTAGTGAACATGGTTCGCCTTCTTCTGGGTTTCCTCCTCCCGCGAATGAGACATACTTTGCAAATTCTCTGACAGGCTTATTTTCGAGCTATAAAAGCGTTCAAAAAGAGGGTACTTTATATTTACCCCATTTTCAGGCAAGCGGAGCACATGACAAAGGAAGTCCAATTGCCGAAGCCTGACTTTTTCAATAAGGGGAGCTGTTAGAATTTCCGTGAGGCTGTAGATTTTAGCATTTGGTATCCTGTCGATTCGCCAAACGTCGATAGCAGGACGTGCCAAAAGAATTGATTTTATTCTCCATGTCTTTAGAGATGACCCATGACTAGTAGCCATACAGTAATACTGTGACACAGGTTGTGTTGAACAACTTCACCTTAGTGGAGATAAATATGGAGGGACTTTTCCATAGAAGTTCTAATTTCCAAAATGCAGTTCAAGCCAGAGCTTTCCGTCTCTTCACTGAGTCACAGACGCTGGATGCCATCACATGGTTACATTACTATCATTATCACATGATTGTGTGTAAGTTACAAGAAAAAACGATGTAATATGAGATAAAAATACGTATAATTTTGTTCTCAGAAGTATTCATTTAGTTGATAGCGAGGTGACGTATTGAGTCCGGCGAGAGGATCTTGACCCTTAAATAAATTTAAAGACCAGTGTTCATGCGTGTATCTTCATCTACGAACCATTCTTGCGTAACCGTTAATTGGTACGTAAACAAGTGGTGTTTTCCAACTTTTTCAACTTTCGGAAACTTTCATGAAAAGGTCCATCGAGTGAAGAACGTGTTTCATTAGACACAAGTTTTATTGGTTTATGCTCCTGTTACCAAAATTCAAGATGGTGGCACAGATATCGCCGTAAATAGCCTGGAACTGGTGATTCATTGTGAAAACTCGCAAATGGAACATGCTTTGACCCAATTTCCAACACAAAAACAGGACTACCTTTTCAAAATTCCACTTCTTTTCAGGAACTTTCTAGTGGAAATCCCGGAAAACGTGTGTTCCATTAACATCCCAACCGGAATTTCCCGAATTTCTGTGTACATGGAAAGGGCCCAAGATGGACTCCAAGAGTGGAGCTATCTTACTTTTTTGAGATAATTCCCTTTGCTTCCGAACAAAGGATCTTGTGGCCTTTAAGTAATTCCAGAGTGAACTAATATATTGGTTATTTTTCATGACATAAACGTGCAAAGAATAAGAACTGTAGCTACATACACTCGCTTGAGTTGCTACTTTTATGCATTAAGACATTATTTACAGGTATCACAACCAACTCAAATGAGCGAGAAAAACCAAATATCGCGTTTGGTATATAGAGGTGTTCTCCCGCTGGGGGC